ATTAATTGATCAAAGAAAAACAAAAATGCGCAAAAATAACTGACTGAAATTTATGAAGTCGTTTTTATGCTCCTACTACAAGACTTAGGTATTAGGTTAGTGGTTAGGGCAGTCTGCCACTAGCAGCGAGAGCGAACGGACGTCTCCGTATACATCTCGATATTGGCAGTCACAAAGAACAATAATACCCAAATAAGTCGAATTATTAATAATATAATTAATATGTGTAAGTAAAAACACAAGTAAGTGAGTGAAATATCCAGACGATATAAACTAGAACTCTGAGACAGCAAAGCTGTCTCCAAAGGCGCTCAAAGGCCGCCAATTTCCGTTGGTCCAGTCTCAGCATCCCAGATAAACTATGGATTCTCAATCCACGAACACAGTTCCTAGAGGAAGAGGAAGAAGTTTCCTGCTCCCACAAAAAAATCGTAAGAGAAAACCTGAAGATCCAGATCACTCATCAAAACCAGTTAAAATTGTTAATCTTACAACCCCAAGGATTAACATGGAATATAAAAAATTAATTAAAGATTTTGGTACGCCTGAAACTATTAATAAACACAATCAAAATCGAGGAATTAAAACTGTCAAACCTAACATACTAAAAAGAAGAAGGACTTCTTTGACCCATCTGACAACATCAGCTATAGCCGCCAAGGCCAACACACCGGAGTCAAGCGATACTGAAGGACCAATGACCTCCTATAATCAACACAGCATCGATGAAAACACCGAAGTAGATGAAGACAGCGATGAAGAAGACGACAATAATGAAATTGATGAAACAAGTGAGTCGTCAGCGGTCAATCAACCTGCTAAAATTGCCAATAAGAAAGGTACGCTAAAACCTACACCAATATACACTTATAATATCCAGTTCGATGAACTGGCCGCTACTCTCACTCTTAATCAAATCCCATCAGACTCCTTCTACCTTAATATAATCGATCAAGAAAACGAAAACGAAAACGAAGAGCCAAGAACTGGAAATAATGAAACTGTAATAACAATACATGCTAATAACACTTATATTTATAAATAAATAGTAGAAGTTTTAAATCCTAGGAATATCAAATATTTCCATTATACTTTAAAAAATGAAAAACCAAAATCATTTGTCATGAAAGGAATAAAAAGAAAAATAGATAAAGTGATAGTTCATGAAAAATTAATGAAAATGAACATCAAAGATCTAGAAATCATTAAAGTAGTTGATCTTCCGTCCAGAAATCCTTCGATTCACAACTTCATTGTACAAGTTACACCACGTAGTAATATAAAGAATTTGAAAAAAATTCAAATATTTAACTATCAAAAAATCACCTGGGAGGCGCTGAAGAAAAATCAACCCTTCCAATGTAAAAATTGCCAAAAATTTGGACATTGTAGTTCTAATTGCAAACTTAATTACCAATGTGTCAAATGCGCAAAACCACATGAGTATCGAAAATGTGAACTTTCTAAAAATTGTGATAAAAATTCATTAAAATGTGTTAACTGCGGTCTTCAAGGACACCCAGCCAGCTACAAAGGCTGCGCCCATTACAGAATAGCTATCCAAATGGATAAAAATAATAAAAAAATAATTGAAGAAAAAAAACAATTAAAAGTTCAACCACTTTCCGAAATGGTAACACCATTGTATCATGTATCACACATGTATCATATGCTGATAAGCTCAAGACAGTGAACACTACACAATCATTACAAATGGTTATAATAAATGACCGTAGCATCAGAGAAAAGTTAAAAAACAATAAAGATAATAATTCCAATTCCGATAATGAAAATATTGTGCCCAATAACATGGAAAATACATTACCAAATAATACGGATAACAATAATCCTCCATCATGGGTAATAGCCCTCCAAAATAATATAATGTCAGCCATTAATGATAAAATTGTTCCTTTGACTGCTGACGTTAATAAACTAACAACATCAGTCTACAATAATTCAGCTAATATAGCCAAAATAATGGCCTATCTCAGCCTCGATAAGCTCTCAAATCCTGATGAATCCGATAATACAGCAACTAATGCCAAAGCATTTAAAGTTTTAAAAAAGTAAAATAAAAAACATGATTATAAACCACCATAAGGTTTCAATACCCTAACGGGTAAAATAAAGTGTGATCTTTGATCAACCAACAATTTATAGAAAAGTTACTATTACGCAATAAAGAGGCTATTGTTAACTTCCAACTTCTTTTTTTTCACATTAAAAAGTGTGTTTTTTGAAATAAAAATATTATTTCCTTTTTAACACTTACTTTAACAAACACTAATATAATTACCATTACAAAATACAATTATTTAACAATATTGTTAACCAACATAGACCAAATATTCAAAAATCATGAGAGCTAATCGCAAGCCATATGATGTACAACTTACCCAGTAACCATATTGTACCAGTTCTTTCAAAAACATTGTTTATTACTGAAAATAGAATGTATATATGAATGTAAATAAATAAACAATTGTTGAAAAAAAAAAAAGTTAGTGGTTAGGGCGTAGGAATAGTGTGCGAAAGATCGTAGGTTCGAGTCTCGTCAGGTCCAAAATTTGAGTTCGTCGCTTAGGTTTTTTCAGGGTCGATATCCTTGCCGCCGTGGTTAGGGATAACTAATAAATCATGAAAACGACGAAATGTTCTTTTTTCATTTTTTGTTAATGAATTTAATGAGTGCCTCGGTAGCCAATCATATGCCGAGCATTTACAGTCCAGTCTGTTGTTCTTTTTTATTACTAGCTTCTTTCAATCGACATGAAAAGATTGATAATCGGATAAATTTCAATAAAACATAAATGTTATTAATATTTTTGGGTAAAATTAATAAGACTCGGCTGTCAATCGGCTGCCATCATTGGGCCAATCAAGGCACCGATAATCGGACCGGAGTTATCATCCAAGGATCGATAGAGCATTGGGCCAGACTCTTTTCCAAGCATCGGAAATGTTAGCGTCGAGCTTGGCCCTATCCTCAGGCCAATCTGGCCATCCTACATGGGGAGGAGACATGAAACAAATGTTTTTTTTCATGTTTTTTATTCTTTTCTATCGTGTTGGTTGTGGTAATGTCTCCAATTATATCAGCACAATTTTTTTTTTGTATAATTTTGATTTGTTGCAATCTCACATTAATCGTGATACTCATTTTACCTCGGTAACTAGGCTTCTTTTTATCCCTACTTTATCTTGATTAAGAGTTTGTTGTTCCTGTGTAAAATTTATATGAAAACATTGTTGCCTAGAATTCCTCCGCCACCATTCTACTTTTTTCCCTGCCCACTACTTACTCAAGATTAGGTATGTATTGTCAATGAGAATGTACTATAACTGAAATACTTAATATCAAGTTGATACGCTGGCTCATCCCAGTCTTGCGTTGCGAGCGGTACTGCGCAGTCACCTGCCTTCCCGCTCAATCCCACAACACTTAACCTAGCAACAATTCGATTGCTGAATACACTCTGATCAACTAAATTAACCCACCAAGTATTTTCCCACAACTCAATCAGAATTTCAAAACCAATCCCTTAGGCACCAAGCGTGCCTCTTACCAGACCAAACTCTTCTTTTCCGATCAAAAGGAAGCCAAAGATGAGTCCTCCTAACAAAGTCTCCAAGAAGCTCAAAATCCCTCCTGACAAAATCATCCCCAAGTCTCCATCATCTGTGGGTGAAATCCACAGCCAACAAGGAAATCAAAACCCCACATCAACTGGGTCGACCATCCAACCTCAAGTGCCTCCCATCATCCTGGAGAATGGTAAACTGGACTCCAAGAAGCTAACCAACTTCATTCAGGTGAATGTCTCAAACAACGATTTTAAACTAAAATTTAATGGGAACAGCACCAAAATCTCCCTTAAATCTCAAGCGGATTTTACAAAAATCACCAAACTATTGGAAACAAACAACTTCAAATTTTACACCTTTGGGCTCAAAACTGAGAGACCTAAAAAATTCCTCATCAAGGGTCTCCCAACCTCCTTTTCTGAATCAGATATTTCTGAAGAACTCAGAAACAAGGGTATAGATACCCTATCAGTCCGGCAATTTATTAAAACGGATCCAAACACAGGAAAGAAAACCCCCTTACCTATGTTTGCAATCACAGTTGGCCACGAGGTGACCATGACAAGCATTACCTCCATCAAAGCCATCCTCCACCACACCTTCAAGCTGGAGAAATTCACAAAATCCGATCAACCCACCCAATGCTTTAAATGCCAACGGTTCGGCCACGCCAGTGCTCTCTGTCATCTCGCACCCAGATGCGTCAAATGCTCAGGGGAGCATGATATCAAATCCTGCACCAACTCATCAGTCAAATGCGCCAACTGCGGCGCTGACCACACAGCTAGCTTTAGAAAATGCCCAAACCGGCTGAACTACGCCAAAAACCAGGCTGAGTTCAAACAAAAACATCAGCGTCTCCATGAAAAAAATTGCATCGGACCCACTCAAATCAACCTCCACAAAAACCTTCGCTGAGTTAGCAAAATCTATCCATTTTCTCGGAACACCGCACTTTCCAACCACATCAACAACCTCAGAGAAGTCAGACATGACTAGTACTCCAACTACACCAGGTACGCCTTTCTTCTCTCCAGCTGGACCATCACTTCCAACGCCATCATTCCTAAGAAACCATCAGCAACCTCCAAGACCGGCCAGAGCCTCTAGAACTCCAAGACCTTCAGCAGATCATCCTTCACTTTCGCAATTAAGTATAACAAACTCCTGTATAAACACTGCTAAATCAATCATTGAGGACCTAAACAACCTCAATATCTTTCAAATCCTTGAAGACATCAAATCTATGATTACCAAACTCAAATGTGCTCAAACCCCTATTGAAAAACTCCAGATCATAGCTTCCTATGAATCCCTCTTTACCCCTACGTCCCCCTCACCACCAATCCCCCCTTAATCGCCTTAAATTTCCCTTAGCCCTAATTATTTTTGCTCTGAAACAAATCCTCGAGGAATTAACCACTAGTCACCTCGAACATTAACATTAATCAATCTTATAACATCATTAGCTAAAATCAAACCTAATTAATCGGTGACAAATCATCTAGGTCATTCAGTTGACCATAATCATCCCCCCCCCCCCTCCCCCCTTCCCTCTTCCTCCCCCTTCCTCTCGCCCCCCTTTTCTAACCATTACTTATAAGGTTTTTTACAAGTACATTTTTCCTTATTATTTTATTGTAACGTCCACTATAACCCCACACCAATCACTTTTATAATTCAACCCCCAAACATCACTTATATTAGGTATAAAGCCAAGGGCTGGTGACCTAGGTGTCGACGTGTACAATTAGTTTATAATTAGTTTATAATTAGTTATAACTCATTGTATATTTTTTGTACATTCAAGTGTATATAGAGATATTAACTTAATAAACTACTACATAACATAACATAACGCTGGCTCATAGGTAACGTCTTCGACTGGCACGCTGTGGATTCGAGTTCGATCCCAGTCTTTATCATTTTTTTTTCTTTTTTATTCATATAATATAATTATTTTTTAATAAATGGCCAATCATCAATCGAATTACTGTTCCTTGTAATTCTCATGAGGTATTTCAATTAATGATTGGTTATTTATTAAAAAAAAAATGATATTATATAAATAAAAAAGAAAAAAAAATGATAAAGAGTGGGATCGAATTCGAATTCACAGCGTGCCGGTCGAAGACGTTACCTACGAGCCAGCGTATCAACTTGAAATTAAGTATTTCAATTATAGTACATGCTCATTGACAACACATACCCAATCTTGAGTAAGTAGTGGACAGGAAGAAAAGTAGAATGGTGGGGGAGGAATTCTAGGCAACAATGTTTTTCATATAAGTTTTACACAGGAACAACAAACTCTTAATCAAGTTTAAGTAGGGATAAAAAGAAGCTTAGTTACCGAGGTAAAATGGGTATCACGATTAATGTGGGAATGCAACAAATCAAAATTATAAAAAAAAAAATTGTGCTGATATAATTGGAGACACTACCACAACCAACACGATAGAAAAGAATAAAAAACATGAAAAAAAAAACATTTGTTTCATTTTTTTTCACTCTTTTCTTGCCCGATAGATTTTTATTATTTGTGAGAATCCAGTAAAAAAAATTAGTTGCTCTATCCAATATTTCACTCCCCCCCCCCCCCGTCGTGTCATGTTGTGTAAGTAACTGCGGAAATGCAATTCGATTGCTGCCCATTAAAAAAAAAAGCAACAATTATAGAAAATGAAAAAAAAAGAGCGTCGGTGAGATCGAACCCGAGTTCGTTAAGTGCGAATCGAGTACGCAGGCTGCGTGCCAACATACCAATTTGAATATTTTATCTAGCTCCTGGTACATGCTTAGTTAATTGGCTAAGTGAAAAGATTTCTCTCCTTAACCCTTAACCCTAAGTGAAAAGATTTCTCTCCTTACCGAAAATAATAAATCAATCTTCTAAACCTAAAAACAATATATTTGGGCTGAAAAATAATCAAATACATTTTCAAGACGCAGAGAACTACATCTCTACGCTCGAGTTTGCCCCTGTGACAGCGGGACAGCTACTGAGGCGTAACAGGCTTGGCCGGCACGCAAACGGCCTAGTAGTGCTCGTGGCGCCCTCACTCCCGTGGGGTGCAACTACGTTGACGCTGGGGTCACTCAAACCCCGAGATCTGAGTTTCTACTTTCGTCAATCCTCTTTGGTTTCATCTGTCCACCCTAATTAGAAAAGAAGCAATAAATTTTTATCTGGCCGCAAACATTGTTGGGCCACTTCAAATTTAGTGGTACGATTAGGATTATGAAGTTTAGCAGCAAATTGGAAGTTGACTTCTTTCGAATCAAGTTCCGATGAGCAAAGTAGGACGTCCAATCATATGCCGCAGTTGTGTGATCAATGCCTCAAATCTGCTCCTGTTGGCACTATTCATAAATTAACTTGGGGCTTTTAATATTTCACTATTTTATTTAATTGTGTACATCTATTACACATTAGTGTAATTACTAAATATTGAACAATGTGACAAAATGTAAACTTGGCGCAATTTTTTCACAAACTTTGTTTTGTGATTTTTTTTAAATCGCAACAGTCTCTGCAAAAGGTTTATCCGCTGTAAAACGAGCCAGTGTAGAACGCAATCTTTTCACGCTATATAGGCGCACTTCATTGATTGCGTTGTGCATGAACACCTACAGCATAACTATATATTTTCCATTTTAACTGTTTTCTATTATATGAATTTATGAATTTTCGATAATTATATCGGGCAAACCAAATGGTCAATCGATTTGATTTTTTTTTTTATATTCCCTCCCACAATACATATATTCCATGGTTTTTTTTATGTCGAGCCGTTGATATTTTAAAAATTTAAATCCGTCAAATTCTATTTAAACACATGTTGAATCACTTGGATTAAAAAAATTTATATCTCAAGTTCAAAAAGGTCAACTGCGAACGGAAAGAGTTCATTTTCTAGCTTATTTTTTGAACTATTCGCAATAAAAATTTTAATGAAAACTGTCGAACAATAATTTTACGTTACTACAACCTTAACGTAAACCGCCCAGAATTACTTTCTTGCGGAAAAATCTGCATCCAAGTGTGGAGGCGTACACTTTAGGTGATGTCAGAAATGCTCAATATCCACTCCACGAAAGAGTGGTCATCACAGGCGGTCGTCGGTTTATATGCATTTAAGAGGCGAGCTCAGACAGGCTCTTCTAAGTTGTTGTTTTTAAAGGCACGTTAATTACGATTTCCGTCGAAAACCGTAAAAAAAGAAGAAAGAATAATCGAGAAAGTTCCAATACTGAGTTTTTTCCAAGTTCTAATAGTTCAGCTTTTCAATTGCACTAAGGAAGTGCAATAGCAACAATTCGGATGGCAGAATTTGCAGATGGTCAATTGTAACAAACTTATATAATAGTTACGGCGTGACCTGATAAGCGCTTCATATTATCATATTGTACTATAATAATTACCAAGTGACAGGATAAACTTTTCCGTATTGCCTTATTACTAAGGAAAGAGTATAAATACTTAAATATCCATACCAACTTGTCTATAAGTGAAGTTAGTGTCTCTAAATAGAATGTTCTAGTCGAGGTTGAGTTATTTTAACATATTTAAAATATTATTTTAGCTTTTCTGAGAAAGTCGTCTGTAAACAACGTAATTCAAAATCCAATCGAGTCCATTTGAAAGATAAGTCTAGTTAAGGGTGTGGAATATACGTAGAGTCAAATTTTCGTGCTTGTTATAGTTTTTTGCAGTACTTCATACGTAAAATAATAGTACATTACGTTACAACCGTACAAATTTCAATTGTGTAACCGATACTACCTACACGCTCCCGTACTTAGTGGAGAGTGCTAGACGACTACGTCATATGCCGTATTTCCCCCACTCTGCCGTTTTGGACTCTATAAGGCAGGGCCTGGCAACCTGGGCTCATCGGGCGCCCACGGCTCCCAACGTTCGTTACTGAGAGCTGGGAGAGGGGCCTCATGCACTTAGCGAAACTACCTGCTCTGATTCGATTTTTCTCCCTCCTTGAGCCCTGGTTCGACCGATACCGGAAAAGGGCGACCGTGCGATCGAGCGGTGAATTCATAAATTTGAAATATAAATATCAATTTTTCATTCGCAATAGGTAGCAATATTATTTTTAAATTTTTTTCGTAGATAAATCGTAGTGGTTGAGAAAATGATTATCATTCTGATAAGAACGCTGAAAAATTTCTATTTAATATATCGAAATTTCTGCAGATCAAGTTAGGCCTGGATGTGGCTTATAGCAGCCCTTGGAAATAGGGGCTGCTTGATTATCATTAACAAAATTAAGTTACTATTTTTTTTTATTTCATTTAGCTACTAAAGTATCTGAAATACACTTCGGCATTTTTCAAATTAAAATATAAAATCTCACACTTTCAGTTTTTGATGTACTGGCATGAAATGTAATATTCGAACTGATTTTGGAGAGATGAACAACCTTTGTGTAATTTCAATTTCTGGCAGAAATCAATAAAAATTTATCAATGTGCCGTTTTCATTAGTCACGGATAGCGCAGGATAGAGCTGCGATTGCCCCAAATAAGTTACAAGTATGTCCGACATTTTCGATGAATGACCATGGTCAATGGAAAATGCGGTTCCTTTTTAGTCCCAGATGCTATTCTTCCATCGAAATAAAAAATTCGAAGGTACGACTCATCAGCGCAATATGGAGAAAATTTATTTTCTCATGTTATGAATAAAAAAATTCATTTTTCATTTTGACATTGCAAAATTAGTGAAATTCATAATATAATACTCCTAAATTGATAGTGGCAACTTTTCTTTTTTTTAATTCACAGTTGCAATATTTGAAAGGAAAATAATAGATGCCGACTACCATTTCAAAAAAATATTCTCCAAGGTTTTCCATGGGAACTTGACGTTCTCAATTTTATACTTAAAATTTTAAACTGAAATTTGGCGCCAATTCTAACGATTCGGTTATTTTTATTCGATCCGCATGCCACTCTACGTGGCTGTCGGAAATATCGTCACTACTGGGACTTATTCGCGCCCAGTGATTGGCTAATTGGCCACCCATTCGGATGAGAGGAGGATTATCCCGACGCTTGTAATAGGCTGGCTCCCGATGCTCTCTCCTGACTCATTGTTGCTACCTCTCTATCTCGGGGCTTGAGAGAGCCAACCAGGTTGTCCTCTAATCATATCTTTCCTCTGGTAGATTGAAAACTTAACGGTCTCGCTCTCTAGCTGTACCTCTCCTCCATCGGACAGGGGACTCAACTAGGTAAGCTCTCTAGTTATTTCTCCTCTTTACAGTGTTGAGAAATTCTTGCCACTGACTTGCTTTCTACGCTCAGACTATCGATCTAAGAAGTGTCTCTTTGAGACATAATTATTTTTCAGCTGTCCAGGTTAATTACAACGAGCCTAACTACAACGGCAAATTTCCGGCAGCGGCTTCAGACAGCTCGCTTAATACCCGACTTTTGCATGCCTTGCCATAAAATATAGAGAACTTGACAAGCCATTTCGTTTCAATGTGACTACAGACCTTGCTTTCAGCATACCCTGTAATTTTCGTATTTGTTGACAGTTGTGTTGTGCCCTTGTATTCTGATGTACTAGTTTTCCAGTGGATAAGCAACAATAATAAATGGATGACAGAAGACATTCTGATATTTCCATTTTCATCTTTTACTCCTTTATCATAATTATGTGTTTAGAATATATATCACATTACTCGTCAAAAGAACCACTCAATCTGCCTCATAGGTACGTCAGATGAAGTTTGATGTTTAAAGTAACTTTTAACAAATTGAAATCTTCTATGGTAGTACCGTACGAATCGTACAGTCCCATTGCAAATTTTTCTTAGGGAATGTGAATTTTTGCATACAACGAAGTACTTTAGCAAGATTGGAACTATGCAGATAACCGGTTGCTGGTTGACAGTTTTAGGATTTTATGGATGATCGAATGCGAATGCGAATACAGGAGGTAAAGCGAAACGGAATTTAGGGTTTTCCTGCCGGGAACCAATCAGTGAGCTACAAATTTTATCAATTTTCAGAAAAGATAAAAATTCAGACTAACCGCCTACCTGCATATGGTAAAATTCTATTTTTTTGGTGTTTTTTTCCTAATTTGTTATTTTTTGACTCTAAACTTACTAACGGGCTATCCCAGAAGTGGATGAAGATTTATGACTTCGTCTGCATTGTTTCTTCAATTTCCACTTCTTTTCAACATTACTTGATGGCTTTCATAACAATACGGCTTAAATGATCTGTTTTTCGAACGTTATAACAAATTAACTCTACTCGTGATGAAATACATTGCATGCACTCAATAATTTACAAATTATACGGGAAAAAAAATTGATAAGTTAGCTGCGCCGTTCATAAGCCCTTAATGATACCCAATTATCTTTTAATTTGAAAATACCATCAACTTCGATCCGACAACAGCGATGTTAAAGTTCGAAGTATTCATATTCAAATAAAATTACGAAGACCCGAATCTTTTCTCAGAAATAGAGTTTTTACTGTTATTTATAATTAGTTTTTGAAAAGGAATACGTCACTTGCCAGATTAACAAGTGTAACGAAGAAATGGTAATGTTTCTTGAGCACCATTGCAGTGACCTAAGCCCACATCCCCTCCGATCACTTCGCAAGACTAGGAAATGGAGACAAGAGACTTTTAGGACATTTATATTTGGTTTTCAAGCATAATGTAAGTGCGTAATACCCAAGTAAGGAAGACACGTAAGGGAATTGGAGAGAATCAGCAATTATTCGCTGGTTCACCGGGAGGAGTAACAAGACGGTATAATGGCTCGACAAGTTGCTTTGAATTTCGAAATGGAAAAGCGGATAATACAACAAGAATTGCAAGAGAGAATGGGACTTCAATTATGGCTGAATGACAAAGCAGCACAGGCCTAAGCTGAGTTCAACATATAGAGATATCTTTAGAAAGAGAAAGATCAAAAATTACTAAAGCAATTCCAGGAAAAGGTGGAGTGATTAGCGGATGCCAATGACGGCCCGATGGACGATCAGCTACGAGACCAGGATCCGACGATGGAGGACTAGGACGCGGAGCCGGCGCAAACGCTTCAAGAACAAAGAGACAGCGACAGCTAGACAGGCAGCCGAACGAATGAGGTAGAATGAACTAGAAACTAAGGTGTCAGACCGCGGATCTCCTGCGATATAAGACCGAAGTATCCATCCTGTGGGAGATGTGCATAGGAAGAGAGTGGAGAGATCATATATTTTGGGTGCGCTAACACTATGCCCATATGAGTGATGAAGGTCAAATAAGGCCGACCAGCCGCTGTTGTCGGAAGCAGACGTCATGGAGCAGATTCCACGTAACTTTCATGCATTTAACCTTGCTCTGATTGACGGTATAACGGAATCGATACTTCTTTTATTGCCCTATCTTATGCACTGCTCACACATTTGTAAGTTAAGCAGACAGGAAGAACCGCCGGCACGAATCTCCTCGCGGGTGCAATATTGAAGCTAGTAATTTTCGTGACTCGGAATCGTCAACTTTTAGATGCAGGCCCGGTCTGTCCTTTGCGTCTCCCGTTGCTTGAAAATTGTGCTTGAGCTATCGATTATCACAGTACCCAGCGGTCGAAGAG